CATGTCACCGACCCAAAGGCAGACCCCCAGGCTCTCCTGGAGTGTCAGAAGGAACTCATGGTAAGTTTCTTCCTACGGGGCTCTGCGCTGCCACCAGCCTCTCTCAGCTGCGGTGGGTCAGGGTACTCGGGAAGCCTCACCTAGTGCTTCTGTGAACAACAGTATTAGTGGTGTTTGTCTGTGACACGTGCCATCAGCCCTCCTCTTCCTCCTGGGCAGCCTTTGTACTGCTGAAGCGGAATGGTCTGAAGGGGTGAAGAGCCACAGTCCTGAGCAAGACGTCTTCAGGATGCTCAGGAACAGGGGACAGAGGCTTTTGTGATATCCTGAGACACTTAAGGCCATTTGACTAGAAGTGTTTTTCCCTTGTGAATACTGCTCACTTGCGGGGACAGATGGTGCTCATTGGCTCTAAAGCCGTGAGCTGTGTGGGTTTTCTGTATCCATTTTAGAAATGTCTGTCTTATTGGAGGAGAGTTTTGTCTTCATGTGTTTGTCACTGACAAACCAAGATGAGATCTATATATTCTCACTTATGCTCAAGGTGACATTTTCATCCATGAGTTTGCATTAATATGTGGCTTAATTTTAAACATTTTAAATTTAATCAGAGTGCTGGCCATTGTTTAAAAAAACATGTTTTGGTACTGATTCTTTGTAAAGCCCCACTCTCTAGACTAGCCGCATCCAATACGACGCTCTGCAATGACGGAAGTGCCCATATCAGCACTGCCCAGCGTGGCAGCCACTAACTCATGTGGCTGGTGGGACTGGAACTGAATCTGTCATTTAAGTTCAAATAGCCACACCTGTCTAATGGCTACCAGATTGGACAACGAGGAAGAAAACCACCCTTAATAATTGAAGCCAATTGGGCTGGGACATACCTCCATATTTCTAAGTAGTGTGGTTATGCTGCTGTTTGTTTCTTGAATGATCAACTAATTTAGAGTTCCCTGACTTCCTGCCCTAGTCGATGAGGGTCTAGTCTTCCCACATTACCCCCCTCACGTCTTTCCTCTAGTCTCTCCAGCATCACAGTTGTCTTCAGAGTTAAAGGGAATGAAAAATAGGGGCGGGGTATAGCCTCCTTGCCATCTAAACAGTGCCGGGCTGCGGGACCAGGCAGTTAGGAGAAGTAGAAGGTCTCCAGTCAAGCCCCGCCCAGCATCTGCCCCGCAGCTCCTGGCACTGAGAAAGCATCATTTGGCCACACTGGCTTCCCTACTGTCAAGTAACCGACGCTTTTTTTTATTTTCAGCAACTAGAAAAGGAGCTAGTGGAACGTCAACCTCAAGTAGACTCCTTACAGGAGATTTCAAACAGTCTTCTTATTAAGGGGCGAGGAGAAGACTACATTGAGGCTGAAGAGAAGGTCCATGTTATTGAGAAGAAACTCAAACAGCTCCTGGAACAAGTGTCCCAGGATTTAATGTCCTTGCAGGGAAGGCAGGTGAGTCCACTTGTGACTTTTAGATGTCATATTCCACGTGAGCAGAAAGTGCTGCAGCCTTGGCACCACTGGCCTGGTGGTGCCGTCAGCCGGAGCTGTTGCGGTGGCCCTCTCGCTGCTGCTAAACGCATCTCCTCGCTGTCCCCTCTCGCTGCTACTAAATGCAATCTCCTCTCGGTCCCCCTCTCGCTGCTACTAAACACATCTCCTTGCTGTCGGCTATCAGTTTTTAATGCAAATAGTCGACCTTGCCTTGTTTGCATTCCCATTTGTCTGAAAAAAAATCTGTTAAAGTGGGGGGTGAGAGCAATAGAAGAAGCCCCTTCCTCAAGAAAGATGTAAGCTAGGGGAGGGGCGAGCTGCACATGAAGAATCTGCACGGAGCACATTTCTGCGCTCTTGAGACTATTGAGAAGCTTCTCTTTCCCTGAACTGAACCTTTGGGGTCTGAATTTCAGAACCTGGACCCATCCCTGCCCGGCTTAAATGAGGCAGACACAGGGGACCAGCCGCCAGCTGCATCGGTGCCAGCCCCCCATGCGAAGGTGAGAGCCCCTTCCTTCTGTGGCAAGTTTGCCACTTATTTTTGAAAGTTACTCAGATGATTGGAACTTGGGACTCCAAGGCCCCATCAGACATTTTGTGACAGCGTGGATCCCCGCTGTAACCTGCTGATCAGTGGGGAGGCTTACTCCAAAGATGATGATGATGTTATTAAAATATTCTTCGTAAAGACCTAACTCAAAGGCCCTCTTCTAGTCAGTTCCTCTTCTTTGGGATCGAAGCAGGTTGCGAAAGAGCACTTGTTGCATTGTTGAAGGGGCTTCCTGATTTTTTCCATCAAAATCAGATCAATGAACTGGATCGAGAAACTCCGTAGTTTAACAAACCCTATTATTTTCTTCCTCATAGAGTTTAACCTCAAATGTAGCACTCTGGTCTCAAAAGTTTGGGGCTGGGCACAGTGGCTCACACCTGTAATCCCAGCACTTTGGGAGGCCAAAGTAGGAGGATTGCTTGAGCCCAAGAGTTTGAGACTTCAACATAGCAAGACCTCATCTCTAAAATTAAAAAAAAAAAAAAGCTAGGTGTGGTGGCACATGCCTATAGTCCCAGCTACTGTGGAGGCTGAGATGGGAGGATCCCTTGAGTGCAGGAATTCCAGATTACCGTGAGCTGTGATCTCTCTGCTGCCCTCCAGCCTGGGCAACAGAATGAGACCCTGTCTCTTTAAAAAAAAAATGCAAGAAGATGACCTAAGGGAGGTATATAATTTAAGGAAGGATGTTTATCATTCATAAGACTAAACTGTCTTTAATTTGGTAATTGAGTGCTTTCTTTTTTAATCCAGAAATTCAGAGGAGAGAGAACTACAGAAGGCGAGAAGGAGACAGAGAGCAGGTAACGTGTCGTTATAGTCACAAGTTCCCCTGCTCCACAACCCCACCGCACAGTCTCGCCTGTGCCACGATCAAGGTCTTTGTAAAAATTGGGCTTTGTCTGGTCTGGAAAGGGCTCGGCTTCTCTTCCAAAACTAAACCCCAGCTGTTGGCCCCATTTTAATCCTGGATTTCTTATTTACGTTGGCAGGGGGTCAGGTGACAGGAGTGGGTTCCCTACCCCTGGACCTCCCCATCAGCTCTAACCTCCTCTGTTGGCAGGGTGCCCGGCGGGGCGCGGCCACAGCGCTCCTTCCTCTCCCGGGTGATCAGAGCGGCGCTGCCCCTGCAGCTGCTCCTGCTGCTGCTCCTGCTCCTGGCCTGCCTGCTGCCCTCCTCCGAAGAAGACTACAGCTGCACTCAGGCCAACAACTTCGCCCGGTCCTTTTACCCCATGCTGAGGTACACCAATGGGCCGCCCCCCACATAGAGGGCTCAGCCGCCACATTGCCACACCACCAGCCCGACTGCCTTGGGCGCCCAGCTCATGGCCCCAGACCAATCTGTGAGTGACTCTTAGCGTTGGCAAGGTCCAGGGACCTGCTGCACACGCCTCCTTCTGGGCTCGTCCCTCTCTGGAGCCCAGGGAAGCTTTCAAATGAAGTTCCTCGCCAGGGGGGCAGGGGACCTGGGCAGCAGTCACCCGGGGCATTTTGGCAAAGCTAGTTGATTGGTTTAGGGAGCTCTGGAAATGGCAGTTTCCCGAAGAGCCAAGCACTTTGTGAATTCTGATTTATTTGTAAAACAGCGTTATGTAGTTAATATGGTCAATGAGCAGTGGTGTTCATCGCATACTATGTATTGTAGATACAAGCAAGCAGATTTCACCTTAGAAATGGTCCAGCAACTCATATGCACCCTTAGCTGATTGATCGAAACAATCATATTTATAATGTTTAGAATCTGTTTTACTCTGATCAGCTAGCAATTTTAAGCTACAGGTTATAAACCAAAATGTTCTGTTCAGTACCTAGGTCTGCTCTTTTATACTGCTTTAAATTTTTAAAGAAATTCTATTGCATGGATGTGGTTATTTGTGCATATTTTTTAACAATGCTGACTCTGTATGAATAATGTAAACTTTGATTTTTTAAAGAAAAAAATCAGATTTTAGCTTGAGCTTTTGACTAATGTACAGTAAATGCCAAAATGACAGACTTGATAGGGATGTTTTTGTAAGTTAATTTTCTAAGACTTTTTCACATTTAAAGTGCTGCTTCAGGTTTTGTTTAAGTCTTCGGCCACGGGGAATTGGTCCAGAAACTTGAAGCTGTTTTGTGGTATGTACAACGCAAATGTTTCTCATTAAAAAACAAAATTAGCCAGACTTCTGTTGTACTGGATTATGTTACAAAGCAGTCCAATGGTATGCTTAGTCTTCTGAAGAACAAAAACTATTTAAAAAATATTTTGGGGGGCTTTTGATTCTAAGTTTTATGTTCTACGTAAATTTAATTTTTACAGGATTTCTTATGAGATCTAGAAACCCATAACCTGTCTGGAGAAAGGACCCTTGGATATGTGTGAATTACTCAGGCTGTGACCTTCAGGTGCTGTAGGGAACGGTGAAGATAGCACAGAAAGGGAGGGGTCCTTGCACCCAGTTTTTCCTATTCTGTTCCCAGCCTTCTCCAGAGCCAATTAGCAGCTACCCAGGTGTCTAACAAATGTTACAGGCAAAGCCACCTGCTTTCCATACAATTCTAGTACCACTGTCTAAACAAAGAGGATAGTTCCTAATCGGTATCTCTTAGCCCCTGAGAGGCCCCTGCTCCCGGGCTCTGCAAAGCAGAAACCTCAGGGGAAGCCAGTGAAGCTCTCCATGCAGGAGCCACCTCCAAGGGCTGCGGGGCTAACGCAGGTAACGAGCAGCTTCATGCAAAGAGACCATTTGAAGAGAATCCGTCTTGTCTTTGGTACTTGAAGTTATAAAGTTGTTGGATTGATAAAGGTAGTTTTTAACACATAACTTCAAACTCTTTTAAAATAATTCATCTTTTTTCATGGATTAAATAGATTTCAGAATAGAATGTAGGCACTAGTTACTTAGCCTAATTACTGTACATTCTTATGTTCAACTCCCAACAAATACATTTTTAAAGCCCAAATCATGAAAATCACTTTATTTATGTGACATTAAAGGGAGACAGTAAGGAAAAAGCACTACCTGGAGGCAAAAAAAGCAGTTCTCAAAAATCTGCTTTCACACAACAGCAAACATTCATTTCTCAAAAGTCCCAAATTTAAAGCTTGTGAATAGAATCAACAAATGACTGTAATGGTTCTTCAAAGCGTTCATCTGAAAAAAATAATAAGTTATAGGCAACCAGCAGGCTCTGAGGTACACAGGAACACTGAGTAATAAAGTTACAGGACCAACAGGCATGGTATTGAGATACCCAGCACAAAAAAAACAAACGCAGCAGTGTTGATTATACAGTTCCCAGGAACTGCTCTGGGCTAGCATCACCAACCCTTTGCCCTTCCCAGAGAGGTGGCTGGCCCTACAAGTGAATATAGGATGCGTGTAATTTAAAAAATAAAACCTTGACTCCAAAGCAACAAAAACAGTGGTAAGATGATGATATATCTCAGCAACAATGCTCATCTTAGAGCTGCCCCTGGAGCCAAAATTCCAGCCTTTGAGAGCTACAAAGAATGGCATATTGAAAATTGTACGTGTATAAATTTCCAAGAAATGTACTCCACTTCCACTTTGGGGAAAGCAGTAACAGGAGATGCTGACAGTGCCCACAAAAGCTCATGAGACGATGATGGCAGGACAGGAAGAATAGAATTTTTTCCACCTGTCATTGCTGCAGTCATGTAAGGGTTCATGCAGACCCCGTCTAAGCTGACAAGGTAGGATCTAAAGGTGCATCTGAAGGCAACCCTGGCCTAACCCTCCCTCCATGCTGCTGATTTTCAGCTGCATGGCCAGGCAAGCAGAAGGTGTGAATTCCAGGTGACCTTGAGTGGTAAATTTGCCCCTCTAGGCTTTAATTTATATATGTATAAAGATAGATTTGAACTTCTGCTTCAAGCTGTTACTGCATCTACAGGGTATCACACACAGGGAGGCCCCATTTAAGCCACAGCAGCCATGCATGTTTGATGAACAAATTCTGTAGTTTAAAATTTTTTTTAACTTTTTTTAACTAGTTCAACTGCATGATCACTTTCAGCACTGGACTTGAATGGCTTGTGGCCAGCTCTATCACTTAGTCTCTGCATGACCTTGAGCAAGTTTGCTTAGATTCCCTGTAACTTCTACAGCCAGAAAATAAGGATAACAGTAATTGTTATGAGGAATAAATGTGAGTGTCTGAGGCACTGAGAACTGCGTCTGGCACAAATACTATTTTTAGGTACTATTTTCGTTAAAAGATTTTTTAGCAGCTTAAAGAAATGTGTCAAATCTTATTATATAAAAATGTTTTGTTTCAAAATAGACTAGAAACTGAAGGTTCACCTTGAATTTGAAAAGGCATCAACATATGCAAAGTCCACTTAGCAGATGTAAATAAGAAACTAACCCTGTCGCCTGGCTGTGCCAAGAACTGGTAACTGATTTTTTTGCTCCTACCGAAGTCTACAATAATTGCCCTTCCAGCTGGGTTAGCAGGCAACGGGGTCCAGATATAGACCATCTCCCTGCAGAGCTTGTGTCAATTTTGCATTTTTTAATACAGTTAAGACTCCCCAGATTTGTTATTAAGCTAATAGTTCTGTCTTGTGTTTCCACCTCAATTTTTCAAGAAAAATCTCTTCAAGAGTATTTTAGGGTCAAATCCTAAAATTTTTGGTTCATCTTGGTGGAGTGAGGCCAGACACAGCAGGTGCACTAAGAAGGGGGCTCACTGTGCTCACCTGGGACAGCCCACTTAACTCTATTAAGAACATTCCATGGTATGTTTCCCTTAAAAATGCATCTATATGACCCCCTATTAGACATGTTTTCACAGTTAAGCCCAAATCTCACTCATTTCCTACAAATAAGTTTCTCCTATTAAATGATCACTTACAAATTAAAATGGAGGACAGGAATCCTTTCTAAGGAAAGCTAATGAACGCTTTTCCATCATACAGAAAATGTAACTGGGGCTTTATCAGGTCCTATTCCTCCTAGTTAATTCATTTTGAAAACACTGACATTTTTGCTTAGCTATAGGAGAAATCTTAAGTTGCCCTAAAGGAACATGGACCATTGGGCAGGGCAGAGACCCCAGATAAGACATTTAAAGGGAAAGCACTATTGCAGAGAAATGACCAACCTCCAAAATGGGCACTGAGGCTGTACCCAACACATAAAACAGCAGCCTGACACATGGAAAAACTGTCATCTACAGAGGACACATTTCGGGCAGAGAGATTCAAAACACATCATCTGAAAGGGGGAAAGGGCCCTAGAATGCTGAAAACAAAACAAAAGGCACCTTTAGAGCACAGCCCATGCTAGCTCAACCGTCTGCGTGGCCCAGACCTCGTCTGAAAGACAGCCTTGCAGCACGGCTGTCCCTCTGGTTGGACTGACCAGTGGGTGTTCCCAACATGCCCAGGTGAGACCCCAGCCAAGAAGAAATTATCAAGAGTGTTACATCCTCCTCCTCACAGGCTTCATCCAAATGCAGGAATATTTGTGGAAAATATTCCCAGTGGCCACTGGATGGGTTTCAGACAGAACACACACAAGTCTGGGTAAGCACAGGATTTGGCACAGAGGTTGCCTGGACACCTGAGTTCCATCTGGCACTTTCTTGGGTACCAAAATTCAACCTAAAAAATTCACTCTCCTACATATTAATTAGGCAATGGCTCGGACCTCATTCTGTTTTTGTTTTTCTTACCTGGTAGTCTGTTTTTTAAAAATACAATTAATAGAATTTCATGAGCAAAGAATTATTCAAGGCTGCCTTCTTCACCTCCCACTTCTCTCCAGTCTCCTACCCCTCTGCTTATAGCAGGGGTTTCTAGTCTGGCCAGAAAGAAAGAAAATAATCCCTGGTTCCTATGAAATCAAGCTTATGTTGTCTGTAATGAATCTCACTAATAATTTGAAACTGCCTCAGAATATAGATAGCAGTGTCTGCTCCAGGTATATGTCCAAGTGTTTCTAAGCTCAACTCTTAGTAAAATTGTACCAGCATCAAAATTAGGAATTACTCAAGGTCTCACTAGCAGAAACCAACCTTTGTCACATTGAATGTAATCTTCCTAATGACTTAGTAAATACATGATGTGCTCACCAAAGTAAACTCATTTCCAAAAAGAAAATGTATTTAATATCTTATCACAAGGTAATTTTTAAAAACAATACCATAAAAATCAAACATGATTATTTAACTGCTTACTTCCAAAGTATAGCTGTTACTCATTTTGTATATTTGGTATGTTCCCAAAAATTTGTCTGAAAATTTCAATCTTCAAAAAGCAAGTTGAGCCAGGCATGGTGGCTGACACCTGTAATCTTAGCACTCTGGGAGGCCAAGACAGGAGGACCGCTTGAGTTCTGAGACCAGCCTGAGCAAGAGTGAGACCCCATCTCTACTAAAAATAGAAAAATTAGCCAGGTGTGGTGGCACATGCCTGTAGTCCCAGCTACTTGGGAGAATGTGACAGGACGATGGAGCCCAGGAGTTTGAGTTTGAGGTTGCAATGAGCTATAATGATGCCACTGAACTCTAGCCCGGGTGACAGAGCAAGACTCTATCTCCAAAAAATAAATTTAAAAACAAGTTGAAATTGTGATTTCAGAGGATTTTATCAAGTTTCTATTTCACCCAGCCCACCATATAAATGCTTTCATAAGAAAATATTTTTAAGAACCCTAGTGTGTAAAAGACTTTGTTCTTGTTATATAAGTAATTACCTCTAAACAGTTCTCTTTTTTAAGGAGAGTTCACAAACCAGGTCTTGTTCGAGTGCTGTGCTCATCAAGTCTACAGAATGAGGCTCTGAAGCTGACATGCTGGCCAGCTAGTCACACTTCCGAGCACACCGTGCACCTCCACTGCCCAAGGTGTCTCTGTCTCCTCTGGGTGGCTGGTGTGGGGTCATGGCTGCTACCTGTGGAGGCCCTGCAAGATGGAAACTGAGTTCACAGTGCCCCAGGGAAGCACTGTGCTATAACCCACACCCACAGGAGAAAACCCCATTCCTGCAAACACACTCACACGGCCTTTCTCCAACACACACACTGGGCCCTTGGGACAACACGGGATTAAGGAAGGGCCGTTACAGGCCCAGGGAGATTTAAATTCCCACAGTCCTCTGTGAAAGGGATCACACATAGACACATGCCCCCAAATAAGCCGCAGGTTCTATGAATGCAAATCACAAGGGATGAATCTGCGTGAAGATGGCAGCAGGGAAACATGGCTCAGATCCTAGCTTGACCACGGACTCCCAGGCCTTTGACAGAGTGACAGTAACAACATGACATCAGTTCTCACGGGCCTGTGAAGGAGGTATGTGGAACTAGTTAGTTGATTGTCATTGCAGGTTTCACATGTCAAAAATAAAGGGGTTAGCCCACTTCCTATGTGCACGTCATTTTCTCCCTTTTGCAACTTGCAGCCCTTCCGAGTCAGATTTCTCCCATTCATTCCAAAGCCTTCAAGATGTTTTTCAAAGGGGTGGAAGGGAAATGGAAGGTAAGAAAGGGACCAACCGTGTCAATCCTATGAGGCCATCAAGATGGAAACACCACATTCCAGTGTGCCCCCTGGTAACAAGGACAACTGTGGCTTTCTTACCATGACTCCTGGGAGCAGTAAGGGGGGAAGCTGAGCCTACCATAACCAAATGGGGGCCAGCGCTTGGCAGGAAGATGACAACACCCAGGATCACGACATGCTGGAGTCCACGCTTCTTCAGTCTTTGGCCTCCTCTGGGAGCCTCTTCACCTCAAGGCCAGGTGTCACTGAGACTGTGGGTTCTGGGAGCCCTCTTTGCTCTCACCGTCCTCTGCCAGGCTGCACTCTGACCCCGTGACCGAGGACTTGTACCCGCGAATCGTGTGGGCATTCAGCATCTCCAGCAGCAGGTCGTACACTGGGATGACGTTTTTGCACTTCATGCTGAGCAGATGTTCCATGCCCTTGTTACTATGGGGACAAAAAGGTGCTGAGATTCCTTCCCTCGAGGCAGCCGCAGGAACATTGAAATGTTCCCCAGCTCTCCTGCACGGGGCCAGTCCCACCCCACCCTATCCCACCCCCGCCATCCCCCAGCAACCCCAGTCTACACTCAAGGGCAAGGACGATGTCAATTTCTGTGTCCCTGCCACCACCCACAGTGGCCTGGCGAGGTGCCTGGCACATAGTACTAATACAATCCTTTCTCATTATTCACGTTACTTTATTCTATAAAGTCCTTTCGAACACGGAATTAGCCAATACTGAGGGAAATAGAGGGTTACGTTCCTGCAAGCCTCTGCTCACATTTTCATCAGCTGATCAACACATAACCTTGTTTCATGTGTTTTTATTTAAAGGCATCTTATTAAATATATATTGTTGATTCATTAACTTTGATTTCAAGGCGAACAGCACTGTAACTCATTGCTTGAATGAAGGTTCTCTAACACGCATTTTCTTTGTAAGGCACGTGACAGCTTTCTTGCACCTAGGAACCCTAGACAACACTTCAGCACTACCCTAGGGGGCCATTTTAAACAGTGAAATCACTCACAAAAAGCACAAAAAGGTAAAAACATGGCAATAAATAGATCACATAAAGGACACTTGTTTATGGTATGAGAGCTGAAACAAACAAGGCAGAGCATTTTCTTGTTCAGCCTCAGCTGGGAACATGCACAGAGGGTGACCCCAAATTTTTGCCACTCTGTAACATGACCTTGAAAGCACCATAAGTATTGATTTGGGGATTATGAATAAATTTTAGCAAGCAGGTAAATTCACAAATACAGAGTCTGCAAGTACTGAGGATTACCTGTATCTGTTCTGCAAATGGTTGTGTGCTAAATCATCATCAAAAAGGAAACAGGCAGAGGTCTTCTTCATTTCTCCCCCTTGTTCTTGAGATATACACCGTCCTTCCCTGCAGCCTTTAGACTCTGGCTCCTCCTCGGGTGAGCAACTGCCTTCCATCCTCATCTCCCCTCTTGCAGCCCCAGGGCAAGGCTGCCCTCCTCCTGGGTGACACTGAGCATCACTGTCCCAAAGTAGCCTGCACACTAGTTACATTTCCTGACCTGGAATATGCCCTACCCACAGCCCTGCCTTCCTAAACCTGCTGGGCTCACCCATCCTCTTAGGTCTAATCCTTAATATTGTAATGCCGCTGAAAGAAAAGACCACTCAGGGAAGGATTTGTGCTCTTCCTCTGGTCTCCAGCTCAAGCGGAAATCCAGGAGAGGCAGACGTAGCCTCTTCACAAGAATGACTTTGGTGTAAGGGGGGGGGGAGTTCATTTTAGGGGAGGAACTGACCCTTTTAGGACCCTATAAACAAGCTATAAGCCCCAGCAACTGGAAACCAGATGAGCCATCACTGGGGTGCCATGAAGATCTCACGAGGTCCCACGGGACATGCGTTCAGTGCCCACTCTGTGCCTGTCTTTGGTTACGGATGTGTGAACTGGCGAAGGCTTCCACTCCCTTTCAGGGGTTCATTTTCTGTGACTTGTGAATACTTTTCCCTAAGCTCTTCACCCTGCTCTGAGCATGTCTCCCTACCCCACCCCGTCCCGGGCAGAGGGGCTCCTGCAGGTCCATACCTGGCATGCCTGACGTGCGACAAGAGCATCAGGAGATTGGCCAGGCGCACGGACTGCTGCTGGGAGGAGATGCCGCTCTTGGCAATCACCCAGACCAGCGCGTCGGTCACGGCGTTCAGCAAGTGGGTCAGCTTCCGGCTGCTCTCAGCCTCCTGGGCTGCTGCGGCCAGAGGGCACATACCTGGGCCAAGAATAAAAAGCCAAAAGTCATCGGTCTGAGAAAAGAAAACTGAAGTCGTGTGCTCAGCCGTTAAGCGCGCCTGTGTTCTCCGGGGTTGATCTGGGTTGCTCTGACATCTGCATGCGTGGTGAGAGCACAAGAGCACAGTCTCACCCCCCGCCCCCGGGGAGCTCTTCCCGAGAGCCAGCTCCATTGCTGAGCTGGAAGGGGAGCCTGGCTGAATGCAGGGTGGACTAAATGACCTCTCAAAGTGCCTACCAGGCACAGGAAATGTATCTAGTAGCCTCAAACCCTTCTTGGTGTTTCTCAACTGCAACAACAGATGCAGGTACAGAGAAGGTCTGAGGGGAGTTTAATATATATAAACTAGTGACCAATGCTAAGAAGCCTCCCCTGCCACCCAGTCATGGCACTGACAGCAACGTAGGGCCCCCTGCCACTTCTGTCCCAGGCCTTTGCATCTCACTTCTGTGGCACTTCTGTGGCTGGGCAGGAAGACCACCAATTTGGGGTCAGACAGACCTATCTTCTATCAGCCATGTCTAGCTCCCTGAGCCTCAGTTTCTCATCAAAGCATGCAGGAACTCATCTCCTTAGGTCACCACCACCACCCTACCAGGTAGCTTGCTTCCCCCATCCCACCCTGCCCTGTGTTTAATTCCCCTCCGACTCTAAGGATCTGAGATACTGTAGTCTCCCAATGGTTGCAAAATAAAAGCTCAAATAAATCTCATCCCCTCATCCCCAGCCCAAGTCCTTGAGAGAAGCCAAATTAGCTTCTCTTCCAGGCTTTCAATTTCAAAGCAAGAATAAATAACACGTGAAATCTTTTTCAAAAGAAGATACACAAAGGGCCAATAAACATGAAAAAATGTTCAACATTACTAATTATCAGAGCAATGCAAATTAAAACCACAATGAGATACCATCTTACTCTGGTTAGAATGGCCATTGTTAAAAAGTCAAAAAAATAGTAGACGTTGGCATGGATGTGGTGAAAAGGGACCATTTTCACACTATTGGTGGGAATGTAAATTAGCACAACCTCTACAGAGATCAGTATGGAGATTTCTCTAAGAACTAAAAGTACATCTACCATTCAATCCTGCAATCCACCACTGGGTATCTACCCAGCAGAAAAGAAATCATTATATCAAAAAGAATGAATGAGGCCAGGCACGGAGGCTCACACCTCTAATCCTAGCACTCTAGGAGGCCGAGGCAGAAGGATTGCTTAAGGTCAGCAGTTTGAGACCAGCCTGAGCAAGAGCAAGACCTTATCTCTATTTAATTTTTTTTTAAATCTTATAAAAAGAATGAATGAAATAATGTCTTTTGCAGCAACTTGGATGGAACTGGAGACCATTATCCTAAGTAAGGTAACTCAGGAACAGAAAAATAAATGCCACATGTTCTCACTTGTAAGTGGAGCTAAACTGTGGTTACAAAAAGGCATACAGAGTGGTATAATGAACATTAGAGATTCAGAGCAGGGAAGGTTGACGGGGTGAGGGATGAAAAATTACCTATGGGTACAATGTACACTACTCTGGTGATCAGTACACCAAAAGGCCAGACTCCACCACTATATAATAAATACATGCGACAGAATTCAACCTGAACCTTAAAATCTATTTAAAAAAAGGGAGGCGGAAAACAAATATGTGAAATCAACCAGGGAGCTGCCCACTTTTTTTTCTTTTTAATGAGACAGAGTCTTACTCTGCCGCCCCTGGGTGGAGTGCCGTGGCATCATCATAGCTCACAGCAACCTCAAACTCCTGGGCTCAAGCGATCTCTGCCTAGCCTCCGAGTACTGGGACTACAGGCATGCGCCACCATGCCCGGCTAATTTTTCTATATATATTAGTTGGCCAATTAATTTCTTTCTATTTATAGTAGAGACGGGGTCTCGCTCTTGCTCAGGCTAGTCTCAAACTCCTGCGCTTAAGCGATCCTCCCGCCTCAGCCTCCCAGAGTGCTAGGAGTATAGGTGTGAGCCACTGTGCCCAGCAGGAGCTGCACACTCTTGACTGTCATGACAATGTAGGGTGGACAGTGCTCCATCATCCACAGAATTCGTCTTGGCAGTTTTTATTCTCTATTTTTATTGGCACTTTCAAGGTCAACTCAGTTAGGCAAGGGACACAGTAATGCAGATTATGCAAGAGTAGTGCTTTGCCACATCCCTAGGGGCCTCCGTAATGTCTAATATGGATTTAAAACATGCATCTTTGACAGGAGCACTGGAGCTGCTTCTTTAACCCCCTGCCCACCTCGTTCTCCACAGTGGCTCTTCCTGTCCCCCTAGAGATGACCTGCCCTCCCAATGCAGAGGAAACAAGACCACAGCCTTGATCCTCAGTGTCCCCTGAGTGGCCAAAACGCGGATCTGCTCATGTGGCTCCCTTTAATGACCTCCCAGCTCGGGGGGCAGAGTCCAAACCACATGGTGCAGCCATCAGGGGTTCTAGGGCTCTCCTGCTCCTGCCCATGGTTCCCACACACCTCACCTGGAATCCCGCTTTCAATCCCCGGAACAGGTGACACGCTGGGCATGCTCAGCTTTCTGCTCAGGAACTCTCTCCTCCCTCCTCCCTCCTCCTTTCCTTCTTCTCTTGCTTAATTATATCCATTCCTCCTTTAGATCCCAGTCTTCTGGAAGCTTCCCCTGACCTCCCTACCACCCCACCCTAAGTCTGGCTTGAGTTCTCCCCAAAGCTGCAACAGTGCCCTGTTCATCCCCCAGCAGAGGCGCCACGTTGCCCCACGTGCTGGACATCTGCACCGTCCTCACACAGGCCCACGGCCACCCTCCCCCCTCAGCAGGAAGGGACAGGGCACTCCGAGGGCACAGACCCCGCCCACCTGTCATTACAGCCCCATCTGCTAGTACAATGCCTGGCACAGAGGAAACACATGTGGGAAGAATTGGACATAAGTTGACCCGAACACAGGTTTAAATTTTTGCATTTTTTAGCCAATCAGCATCATAATTGAATGGTAAATATGCATGTTAATTCATATATAAGCATACACAGTAAATCACTAATCAAAAGTACAGAAAAAATTATCTTAAGCTTACTTTCCCTAAAACTAACACCAGCTGTGTTAACAAGTACTTTTTCTTTCTTTCTTTTAGAAACAGGACCCCGCTCTGTCACCCAGGCTGGTATGCAATGGCATGATCATAGCTCACCGTAACCTCAAATTCCTGGGTTCCTGCAATCCTCCTGCCTCAGCCTCCTAAGTAGCTGGGACTACACGTGTGCACCACCATGCCTGGCCACATGTAGCTTTAAGAAAACACTGTGGCTCAGCTCAATGGCTCACGCCTGTAATCTCAGCACTTTGAGAGGCCAAGGAGGGAGGATTGCTTAAGCCCAGGAGTTTGAGACCAGCCTGGGCAACAGAGCGAGATTCTGCCTTTACTAAAAAAAGATTTTTAAAACCTACCCTTTAGTCTGTTCTGCTGCATGACATGTGCTCCAGGAGTTTCTACTGCCATAAAGAAATACTATGTTCTAGCCTGAGCAAGAGCAAGACCCTAGAAAACTAGAAACAAATTAGCCAGGCACTGTGGTGCCTACCTGTAGTCCCAGCTACTCAGAAGGCTGAGGCAGGAGGATCACTTGAGCCCAGGAGTTTGGGGTTGCTGTGAGCTAGGCTGACGGCACAGCACTCTAGCCCTGGCAACAGAGTGAGACTCTGTCTCAAGAAGGAGGGGAGGAGAGGGGAACACTATGTTGTATACCTGCCAAAGTTGTATACCTGTCCACGTCTCAGTCCAAAGTGACAGATTGAAAAGATAATAAACCCTCAGCTTACACAGGAATGTTCACAGAAAATCATAATAGCCTAAAAGTGAGAGTAACCCAAATGTCCATCAAGTGATGAGTAGATAAACAAAATATGGCCTACTCATACCACAGAATATTATGCAGCCATGAAAAAGAATGAAGTACTGATTCATGCTACCACATGGATGAACCTTGAAATCATTATGCTACATGAAAGTAGCCAGTGACAAAAAGCTACATTTCATATGATGCCACTTATACGAAGTGTCTAGAACAGGCAACTCCACAGGGACAGAAAGGAGATCACAGTGGGTGCCAAGGGATGTGGGCGTGGTAGGGGATGGGGAGTGACCTCTGTGGAGTTGCTTCTGAGGTGATGCAATGTTCTAAAATTGGCTGTGGTGGTGCTTGTACCACATATAGTGAATATACTAAAAGACTCTAGCCCTCATTTAATATATTCAAAAAAATAAAAAAAATAAAATAAAAAAAAAAATAAAAGACACTGACTTGTATATTGTAAGTAGGTGAACTGCATGATCTATGAATATCACAATAAAGTTGTTATTAAAAATAACAACACCTCAGAACCAAAATTACAATAACATAAATGCCCTTGGCCGTGTGTGACAAAGGGTCCCCTCAGGGACTGTGTCTTGGCTAGTGGGTCCCCTCCTCCATGAACCAGCAGTCACTGCCAAGGGCAGAACCTAGGCCTCCCACGGGCTATGGGGCAACACAGCTCCACGCAGTACCGCGAGTCCACCGGCATCAAGTGGTTTGGGCAGGGAAGGCACTGCAGTTTTGAAAAGGATATGGTATATCAATTTTACGTACAGGGTGGGATGTATATACAAAAAGACTAATCTACATAACATCATCCTGAGAAGGAACAAGGTTGAAGAATACCCATTTGGGGCCAGGCACAGTGGCTCACGTCTATAACTCCAGTGTTTTGGGAGGCCAAGGTGGGAGGATCACCTGTGCCCAGGAGTTTGAGACCAGCCTGGGCAATGTAGCAAGACCCCACCTCTACAAAACATTAAGAAATTAGCCAGTCGTACTGTGGCATGCCTGTAATACCAGCCACTCGGGAGGCTGAGTTGGGAGGACTGCTTTAGCCCAGGAGTTTGAGGCTACAGTGAGCTATGATTGCACCACTGCACCCCAGCCTAGACCCTGTCTAAAAAAGCAAGAATG